GTTTTCCAGGAGTTTGTTTCTGTTTTGGTTATTTTCTTTGTTTGCTTTAATTCCAAATATAAGTGAAATCATATGGTGTTTGTTCTTCTGCCTCATTTCATTTAACATAGTACTCTCTGGGTCCATCTTCGTTGTCCCAAATGGTAAGGTTGCATTCGTTTTTGTGGCTGAGTAACAATCCACTGTGTGTGTGTGTGTGTGTGTGTGTGTGTGTGTGTGTAGGTTGTTTACATATTTAGCTATTGTAAATAATGCTGCAGTGAACATAGGGGTGCAGGTGTATGTGTCTTTTCGAATTAGTGTTTTTGTTTGCTTTGGCTACACCCAAAAGTGGAATTGCTGGATCATATGATAGCTTAATTTTTAATTTTTTGAGGAAACTGCATATTTTTTCCATAATTGCTGTACCAGTTAGCCATTTCAACAAAAGTGCATGATGGTTATTCCCTCTTCCCCACATCCTCACCAACACTTGTTTTTTTGATAAGAAATTGGCAGGTGTGAGGTAATATCTCTTGTGGTTTTGATTTTCATTTCCCTGGTCAATGATTAAACTGAACATTTTCTTTGCTTTCCTCAGATAGCCTAATCATTAATGATGTTGAGCACCTTTTCATGTACCTGATGGCTATCTGTTTATTTTCTTTGGAAAAGTATTTAGTGAGCTCTTCTGCCCATTTTTAAATTGTATTTTTCTCTTGCAATTGGGTTATAAGAGTTCTTTATGTATTTTGGATATTAACCTGTTATCAGATAGAGGGTTTGCAAATATTTTCTCCCATGTGGTAGGTTGCCTTTTCATTTTGTTGATTGTTTTCTTTGCTGTGTGGAACCTTTTTAGTTTGATTAGTCCCACTTGTTCATTTTTATTTTTTTTTTAATTTTGTTGCCAAATCAAAGAAGTCTGCCAAGAATAATGTCAAGGAGCTTACCGCTTGTATTTACTTCTAGGGGTTTTATGGTTTCAGGTTTTACATTCAAGTCTTTTAATTCATTTTGAGTTAATTTTTGTATATGGTGGAAGGTTGTGGTCCAATTTCATGCTTTTGCATATGGCTGTCCAGATTTTTAACATCTTTTATTGAAGAGATTGTCCTTTTTCCTTTGTGTGTTCTTTGCTTCATTGTCATAAATTAATTGACCCTATATACATGGGTTTGTTTCTGGGGTCTCTATTCTTGTTTTATTGATCTTTGTGTCTATATGCCAATGCTGTACTGTTTTAATTATTATAGCTCTGTAATATAGGTTGAAGTAGAGAGTATAATGCCTCCAGCTTTCTTCTCTCCCAAGATTACTTTGGCTATTCAGTGTCTTACAGTTTCATGAAAATTTTTATGGTTGTTCTACTTCTGTGGTGAATGTTATTGGAATTTTGGTAGGGATTGTATTGAATCCATAGATTGCTTTTTGTACTATGGACATTTTAGCAATATAAATTCTTTCAATCCATGGGCACACAGTATCTTTCCCTTTATAGGTATCTTCATCAATTTCTTAAAATTTTTAGTGTACAGGTCTTCCACCTGCTTGGTTAAATTTGTTCCTAGATATTTTACTCTTTTTGATGCAATTGTAAATGAGAGTGTTTCCTTAATTTCTCTTTCAGATAGTTTGTTGTTAATATATAGAAATGTAACAGATTTTTGTGTGTTAATTTTGTATTCTGCAACTTTACTGAATTCTTTTATATCTTGCTTAATTCCTACTTTTTAATCTGTCAGTTTTGAGGCATTAGCTGTTGGCTTCCCACCATGGAAAATGGAAATGAGTCCTCTTTATTCCTCATAGTTATTGTCATTCACACACTTGCATGCTTCCCACACTCTATAACTTCCCAATACATTGGTTGCATCAATATACAAATGTTTCTGTTATTATAACCATATATACTATTCTGAGCTGTTTTTTCTTCTGCAATTATCTTATGCTCCTTTGGTGGGGGGAGGTCATTTTATATTAGCACAGAAAACAATAGTATCTAACTCTTAGTCCTCCGTGGTGTCCTGTTTCTGTGTCAGTTCATCCAGTGAAACCCTTTAACAATTTGTCTCTCTTGTCTCGTTCCACTTCCTTCCCTCCTATCCCCTCCCGTGCTGTTAGCCACTCCGGTTAGACTTTTGTTGTTACCACTCCATTGGGAATGTGCTTGTCATCATTCATCCCAAATGGCCAAGACAAAGGCAAAATCTAAATCTGTGTCTTGCTCCGCCTTCCCTCCGTTATTTCTCCCGGGCCCTCAGTCTTTGGTATGTTCAGCCACTCCTCCGCGGAAGCCTTCCTTTCGCGTGGTTCCTGGACTTCCACCGGGGTCGCTGCTCAGTCCTTCTGGGTTTAGTTCGCTGATTCCACCTCCTTTTTAGTTTTTCCCTCAAAAATACTTAATTGTCCCAGGGCTTTCCTCTGCCCCCTTTTCTTTGCTTTCCTCAGACAGTTTAATCTTTTCCACGGCTTTGAACGTCACCTACAGACTCATGACTCCAAAATGTCAGACGCTGGCCCGAAGCTCCCCGGGACCCCAGGCGTCCAGAAAGGGCCTGTTCAGCATCTCTGCTCGGGCTTTTTCAAACGAGCGTCTCAAGCGTCACGTCACAGCCACGTTGCAGGTTTTCACTCCTCATCACGTTCTCCAGTCCGCTCCCCCCGCCCCGCCCCCGCCGCACTACGTGCTGCCATTTCTCAGTTGCTCAGTCCAATTACCCATCAGTCGTCCTTGGTTCCTTTCTCCCTTGCCTTCCACATGGAGCCAGTCATTACGTATCGGAAGCCTGTGTGAGGCTCGGCATGTCCCCGCAGTCCCTTGCCACCGCCATCATGTGATTCCCACTGAGATCACCGACCCCTTGCCTCATAGTAGCTGATTCACTCTAAGTGCCCTACGCCCCTCTTTCCCTAATTTGTCCACCATCTCACAGGGCAGAGAGATGCATTTAAAGCGTAAGTCAGAACATTCACTCTGCTTCCCGTGGCTTCCTGGCACAACTTGAATTAAACCAAACCCCTCGGGGAGCCTCCATCCCCGCCCTCGGCTGAGCCTTGCCCACCGCCCCGGCCTCACCGCCCCGGCTCCTCACGCCTGGGCACTCCTGGCCTGTCCGTTGCTTCCTGTTTCCCCCTGCCTGTTCCTGCCAAACCCCTCCCTCCCCTCCTGTCTTCCCTTCACTAGCACTTTTTTTTTAAAGAAAGATTTTATTTTTAGAGAGAGGGGAAGGGAGACAAACATCGATGTGCAGGAGAAACATCAGTCGGTTTCGTCTCCTTTGTCCCCAGCCCCGGGAATGGGACCGGCGACTCTCAGTTGGTGGGGTGACGCCCAGCCCAGTGAGCCACACCAGTCAGGGCCACTACCACTTTCTCATTGTTTTGGTTTGAACTCTGATATTTCTTCAGGTAGAAGCCCTTTTAGTTACTGAATCGCCATTCCTTTTTTATCTTCTCAATAGCACATCTTGTCCCTGAAATTATATTAATGTGTTTTCAGACTTTTACTCTAGAATGTAATCAACCCCCTCCATCCTTGAGCCCCTGGGACGGTTCCTGGTATGTGGTAGAATGTTGTTGACTTGCACAATTCATAAGACAAAAGCACCAAAACAGTACATTTGGAATGTTTCATTTACTCTGTATTGCTATTCTCGATCAGGAAAAAACAGTTTTGACTTGGGGAACCTAAAATTTGTTTTAAGCACCATGTCAAAGGGCTCCAAATTCCTGGGATACTGAACCTACCCCTACCACACCCAAATATGAGTACCAAAAAAAGCATATTTGAGGAAAATTTAGGACTTTGGGATAACCCCTTCCTTTCTCTATGTCTCACAGAGATAAGGGCTGAGCACCAGCTTATACTGAGGGCTATGTGCTATTCCTTTCACGAAGGTTAAGTCACCACTCGTACTGGAACTTTCTAACGTTCTGTTACTGTGTAACAGTTTGCTTTGTGAATGCACATAACTGGGAATAGAATCAAATGTGGGAGCAGATTTACCGTCAAGCATGGCTTCAAAATTTTAAGTGATTTTCCTCCATACAGTAGCTTAAAGAGAGGCATATTGTTACTTTAACGTTTGCCTGATGGTATAAATTTGTTCATTGCCACAAGCTTCAAAGCAGTGAAAATATGTTTGTAGCCTAAATAATAAAGGGGAAAAAAGAGATCTTGGGTAGAGAACTTATTCAGTCATTTGTTTTATGGCTAAACACAACTCTTAAATTGTACATGACTTGCATCTTTCTGGCACTTCTATCCCTGCTTATATCAGTTTTATTTTGTGAGTCTTTGGCTGAAACCCTGTTACCTGAATGTGCAGAGAGCTCCTGTGTTTGCACCATGTAACCATTTTGCTTGGTGTTTGAAATGAACGGTTGGCTTTCAGCTCTAAGGAGGGTCCCACGAAATGAGGAAAAAGTTTGCTGGGCAGAGCCAGAGATGCTGGTAAAGGCGAGGTGCGTACCTGAGCTGCTAGGGGGCATCTGTGTGTGGTCCTGGCCTCCTAGGCAGAGGGTGTGTGTGAAGGAAGGTGAGTAATGAGACCAGCCTGGATTAAACTAGGACTGTGAGACATGTGGCAGAGCCATCATGCAGGTGATTTTTGACAGATATTGTAAAGAGTTGTTAAACCCTCAAATAATTGGAAGTGTGTTTTGTCTGGGAGCCTTTTTAAAGCATTTTCTAGCTACTCTAGACTTCTCTTGTCTGGTCCATAGACTTGTTAGTATCATTATTGACCAGCCTGTAGCTACACATGTATACATACCACACAGCTCTTCCTCCTCATTCAGGTCTCAGAGGGAGAAACTCAGGTGCTGGCAGCACATCGAATATTCATACTGAATGTGTGTGCTTTCAGGGCGAAGAGGCTCTCTGGAACTATTTTATTACCTCTGGTCTTCCAGAAGCCTTTGTACTTAGTTTTAGATTCAGTGGTTTTAGGCCTAGGACACAGAAACTATGTTTGATTTGATTTAATATAATATCCTCTTTGTCTGTATTTTAACAGGGCAGCCCTGTACTGCATCGAAATGTTAATTCTTTAAGAGAGCGAATATCTGCCTTCCAGTCGGCTTTTCAATCCATAAAGGAAAAGGAAAAAACTACTGCCTCTCCAGAATTCTCAGAGGCAGAGGGAGAATTTGAGAAAACAGACTCGAGTGAGTAAAAAAGATTCAGTCAATTTGGACTTCTGTATTTATTCAGACGAGCCTCAGATACAAAAAGATTTAGTTCCACAGTGCAAAAGCAGTCTTTCTGAACAGCGTTGTATTTTTATTTTATTGATTGATTTTAGAGGAAGAGAGAGAGGCATAGGTTTGCTGTTCCACTTATTCATTGGTTGGTTCTTTTATTTTATTTTTTTAAATTTTTATTTATTGATTAGAGAGAAAGAGATGTCAGTTTGTTGTTCTACTTACTGATGCATTCATTGGTTGATTCTTTTATGTGCCCTGACAGTGGATCAAACCTGTAACCTTGGCTTATCGGGATGATGCTCTAACCACCCGATTGACCTATCCAGAGCTGTTGGTTGATTCCTTTTTGTTTAATCCTCACCCAAAGATATGTTTATTGATTTTAGAGAGAGAGGAAGAGGGAGAGACAGAGAAACATTGATGTGAGACAGAGAAACATCAATCAGTTGCCTCCTGTACGCACCCTGGCGGGGGATTGAACCCGCAGCCTTTAGATGAGTGGGGTGATGCTCCAGCCCCTTGAGCCACCTGGCCAGGGCCCACTGGTTGATTCTTGTGTGGGCCCTGACCTGGGATCAAACCCACACCCGTGGTGTATGGGGAGGACACTCTAACTGAGCTAACCAGCCAGGGCCCAGAGTTGTATTTTTTTTAAGTATATTTTATTGATTATGCTATTACAGTTGTCCCAATTTTTTCTCACTTCTATCCCCCTCCACCCTGCATCTCCCCTCCTTCCAGCATTCTCTCCAACCCCCAGTTCACGTCCATGGGTCGTACATATAAGTTCTTTGGCTTCTCCATTTCCTATACAATTCTTAACCTCCCTCTGTCTACTTTGTACCTACCAATCATGCTGCTTATTCCCTGTGCCTTTTCCCCCACTCTCCCCCTACACCCTCCCTGCTGACGACCCTCCCTGTGATCTCCATTTCTGGGACTCTGTTCCTGTTCTAGTTGTTTGCTTAGTATTTTTAAGGGGGACATTTTATGCAAAAACCTGCATTTCTGGTTTCTCTTAAAAAAACCTGATATCAAACATTTATGTACCTACTTTTCCACATGGTCACATGGTTAGCTCATTACATCTTTAGAACAGGGTATATGGCAAATTTGAGCATACAAACTTGATTTTCAGAGGGTTATTACTAAGTTTGGCAGGCATTCATATGAATACCAATCACTTATACCTGGTATTACAAACAGATATATACTAATCTGACATCTTAATAGGCTGTAATATTCTTTATCATAACTTTTAGACTACAATTCATTTGGTTATTTTTTTTTCTGTCACCTTTGATTTTCCAATCACAAAGCATTTGAAACAGAATTAGACAAACCGTGGTCTCTCTGTAATCATCATAATCACCGCTCTAGTGCTCTGCGCCCTAAGTGAGGATCCGGGTGACCTTGTTTTGGGTTCTGGAACCGTGGCCCGGTCCATTCCTGCGCCTCCGCGCGTGCAGTGCGCGGCCCCTCGAGACTGCCTGTTCGTGCCCGACCCCCGCTGATGGGCTCATTTGTATTTGCAGCTTGTAACCGATCTACTTTCCAGTATTTACCTGGGTTTTAAAATATTTTACCAACATGATTATTATAACTCTGCAAGGAGTAAAATTCTTTTGAGCAGCTAAAAAGCTTGGTTGGTCACATTGTGGCTGTGCTTTTCACAAAATGGTACGCGGTCAAAGCAGGACCAGCATTAGAGCATAACCATACCCTTGGAAATGTCCAAAAGGGTAAGTGTCAATGTAGATTTAAAAACAATGAGATACTGTATCACCAAGGCAAATGTATTTTAGCATCTTTCCTCATTTTAAAGTCTGAAAAAACTTAGCTCTAATTAAATTTGTATGACCTTTTTAGTAGTCATGTTCTCCTGCCTTTTTTGAATTAAAAATTGTACTACATTTGATGATACACAGATTGTAAAATGACACTAAAAAACCAAAGCGCTCGTGCCCGTGGTTTTGTTTTTGTGTGCACAGCCAGCAAGGAACGTCTCGGCGAGCGCCCGCAGCCGGCGGCCCCGGCGCAGGGGCCCGGGCGCCCGCGGCGACCTTCGCAGAGCAGCCGGGAGGGCAGCCTCGCTACGGCCGCCGCCGCTCGGCAGCCCTTCGCGGTCGCCACCCCTCCCCCGGCGGGGGCCGACGCTTCTCTCGCAGACCTTGCTGAGGTAATTCCCTTCCTGGGAGCCCGGGACGACGAAGCTTTCGTTTCCTGGCCCGGCGGTTTTAAGCCTGGCGCCGCACACGCGTGCGTGTGTGTGTTACCTACTTGTTCATTGGTGATGTTAGTTGTCCGATTGGTTGTTAGGGTTTTGATTAAAAGCTTTTTGGAAAAGGCTCTGTGGAAAGAAGCAGCCGTGTGGTCCCTGCTTGCAGGGCGGTGGTGGAGAGGTGAGGGCCCGCGGAAGCTGCTGCGGGAGGAGGGCGCCTGCCGCCTGCCACCTGCCGCCGGGGGCTCGGGGCGGGCTCCGGGGCGGGCGCAGTGTGGCTCGCCTCCCGGCGCTGCCGGGGCTTTTGTTGCTCATGCCTCTCCCACGCTTGTCAAGACAAGGAAAGACCACCGAGGATTAAATGATGCTGTTGCCTGACCTTGACCCTCACGCAGATGTGAACAAGGAGCTAGTTCTCTCCGGAGCCTTCCCGCTTCATACCGTTGGTTTGGGTTTGGCACAGCACGTTCCCGTTTCTTCCGGTGAAAAGAGACACCTGACGCTGTTGAGTGGAGACCCTTTTTTTCTGTGCCCTCCCCGGCGCATTGATTGAGCACGTGTCCTAATGATTTTATCTGGACTGGTATAAATGTTTGATGGTCAATTAAAGATTCTTCAGGGACCAGTAGGTTCATTTTTGTCTCAGAGTCACTTCTAATCTGACAGAACCAATCATAATTGTTTCTTAACAGAACTTTGATTGTTTGGACGTGCACCATGATTGAGAAATGGCTTCCACATTGATATGGGTGTGCTTTCTATCCGAGCCATTCGTGGTTTTCCTGTCCTTGCTATTGATATCTTTTCTTGTTTGATTAGTAATTACCTAACGCTTTCTGTTTGGAGAATTTCCTCTTTAATGATTGCACTTAGCGTAGTTTCTGGACTTCAGACGATAAGGCAACACATTTTTGTTGCCTTATCGTTTGAACTAAATATTGTTTGCTAGGATATTTAGGACGCAGTTAGAGTGAATATTTTTTAGTTAAATTCCCCTGTACTTTTGAGACTTTTCGCCTCATTGATTGACTGGTTTAACATTAGATTTCTAGGGAATCTGTAATGCTCACTCAGATCTTTATAAAGATACTAGTAATCCTGTAATTAATAAGATTTAATACTTTTTTATTCTAAACTTCCCTCCCAAGAAATCTTCTGGACCTGGTTTAACACAGTCTGGGTGTTTAGTTGAAGAGTCTCGTCCTCCCTCAGAGTTCACAGAGGCTTCGACTGGTAAGTATTTAATTGTTCACACGTGCCAGTGCACCCATTGAAACATTTGTTCAGTAGTTATTTATGGTTGGTGTACCTTGATGCTAACATTTGGAAAACTAAAACAGTTCCCTACATTTGAGGAGCTCTTGGTCTAATAAAAATGTTTCAGAATTCTGTTTATGTGAGAGATGGCATTGTCTTCTTCGAATAAGTGAAATATTTTTAAGCTGATAAAATGTATTATAAAGAATAGGGTCACTGAACATATTAACAGGTATATTTTATTAGAGAAAACACTACAGATGATTTTTTTTTTTTTTTTTTGGTTTTAAGGTGTGTGAAAAGGGACTGGCATTCAAAATTTATTTAGACTTTTCCAAAACCAGTATGCTGGTATTGAATGAAAGTTACCAATATAGTGTTAGGCTTACTTTCAACTTACCTGTCTCTCTTAAAGGAAACGTCTTTTTTTTTTTTTTTTTTAAATCCACTTGATATTCCCTGCCTTTTAACTGGAATGTTTGTTTCATTAACCTTTCAAGTTGTTATTGATATCGTTTGATTTACTCTACTATTTTATCACATGTTTCTGTTTGTTCTTTTAATCTTTTTTCTTTGTTTCCTTCTTCATGTCTCTTTTAGCTTTATTTGAACTTTTTTTTATTTTAGAAATCTATTTTCTCATTACCTTTTAAACTGTACTTCCTTGCATCTTTTTATTTTTTATTTTTAATTTTAGTCTAGGGATTGTGACATAACATCCTTATCTTTTCATAGCCTCTGTGGAGTTACAATAATATACAACTTCTCTCTACCCACGCTTGTCTTTTATGGTCCTTTGCATTATCAATGTCATCTCTGTTACATTTATATTTATTAAACCCCACAAGATTGTTTTTCCTTTAAGCAGTGGTGTGTATTTGTGGGTAGATAGTCTTTTGTAGTTAGCCATCTAGACATAATTTATGGTACTCTTCATTCCTTCCTGGAAATATAACTTTCCTTCTGAAATTATTTCCCTTCAACCTGAAGAAGAACTTCTTGCAGCATTTTTTTATAGCGCACATCCACTCTGACTTACTCACTTCAGTCTTATGACAGATGGATGAGGCACAATGCTGGATTGTGAGCTTGTTGCCTCGGTGAACTAAGATGCTTTTGCCTTCAGCATTTCTTCCAAATGGTCTGCCTTTGCTCTCGTAGGACTTTGTCTTAGAAGGGTCATATTCTTTGATCGTAGTTAGATGTATACAGTGTGGTCAGAAAAAACTGTCATCAGACCAAACACCTTCCTATACAACCTGCCTTAAGTGGGACCATCACAACAAGAGCCAACATATCCCATTTTGCACCTCACTGGGCCCTAAGCACAAATACTATATAAGACAGAGAAAGATAAATCTACTGTAGATGTGGGGCCTTGATTGAAAGAACCTACTGCTGACTTTAGTGTTTTAAACTGGTTTAGTGTTTAAAATGTAGTACCTGTGCGGTTTGGTACCCCAGAGATCATCATATTTCAGATAGTACAGTTTTAGGAAGAGTGAAAAGATCTTGTAAAGTCAGGTAGCATACGCTTTGTTGAGGGAGCGCTGGGAGGGGAGTGAGCCCGCATGATGCCTCCATGAGCTCCCTGGTCCTCTCCACTTTGTCCCTTTTACCCATCTGCCTGGGAGTCCAGCCTGGTGACTCCCTCTGCCTCATGGGCATCAGCGGGCAAGCTGGCCTCTGCTTCCTGGGAGGGTCAGTTCCTTCACTGGGCACCTGGACACCACTCTCTTGTGGTTTCCCCTACTTCACGGGCCTTTTCTTTGCGTATTTTCCTGGTTCCTCCTCTTCCATTCCAACCTTGAAAACATTTGAATGCCCTGGGTTGATGCTCATTTGTTTGTTTGTTTTTCTCTCTAAACTCACTCCTTAGGTGATTGCAGCCATTCTTAACAGTAAAGAGGACCTGCGTGCTGCTGATCTATGTGTGTGTCTTTGACCTCTTCCCAGCACTCTAACCTAAGCGCCTGCCTGCCTTTCCTCATCTCCCTGTGGATGTCTGACACTCTCGGACTTAACACACTCAGCAGGTCCTGAGGATTGTTCCTGCCCCGACTCTGCTTATCTCGATTTTCTTCTTCCCAGGAAATGAGACCACCAGTTGCTTATACCAAAAACCATGCAGTTATCTAGACACCTCCCTTTTTCAAGTTCAACTTCCAGCCCCATGAACAGATGCTGTTTGGCCTTCAGCATAGTGCGAATGTCTGATCTCCTCTGTCCTCCTAACTGCCATCAGTGTGGGTCAGGCTACCGTCTTCTCTAGCCTGGAAGTCTTAAGTGATTTCCCTGTTTCTACTATCATTCTGTCCTTTTCTTAGTCTTCTGCACAGTAGCCAAGGTGCTCCTTTTAAAATGTAAGCCACACTATGTCATTCCCTTCTTAAAATCTTTCACTGGTTTCCCAGCCTACTTAGAGTAAGATCCAACACTGTTTCTGCTAGACCTTCCCGGACCCAGGCCTTAGATTCTCTCCAAGCTTATTTCTCTGCTCTTCTTCCCTGTTTCCCAGTCACGCTGGCCTTGCCCCTCCCTGGCACAGGCCCGCCACATTCCTCTCTCAGGCCTCTGCTCTTGGCTTGGTGTGTATAGTGTGTCTCCCAGGTTGTGTGCATGGTCACTTTCTCACTTTACTCAGATGCCTGCCCAGAAAGCTGCCCCCGAACACCCCAAAATAGCAGTGCCCTCCCCCCCTCACTGTACCCTGTCCCCACATCTCAGCATTATTTTCCTTGATGGCAGGTATCACTACTTGTTATATATATAGTTCCTTAACTTTTTATTTTGACTATAAGATTCACAGTTGTAAGAAATAATCTATACTCTTGTCCCATTTCCCCCAGTGGCACATCTTACATAGCTGTAATACAGTGTCACACTCAGAATACAGTGTCACACCAGGAAAATGACACTGATCCAATTCACTGGGTTTTTTTTTCCCAGACTGCACCAGTTTTACATGCACCCATTTGTGTGCAGGCGCAGTTCCATGTAATTATATCCTATGAGGACTCGTGACCCCACTGCAGCCAGTAGCAGAACAGTTAATTAATCTCAGGGATCCCTCGGGGGGGCTTTGTATGTTTTGTTCATCATTGTCTCTGGAGTGCCAGTCACATCAGAAATGCATAATACATGCTTGTTAAATGGTGATCATAAGGCCGTGCTTGCGTGAGAGAATTTGTGGGGGCAGAGGTTTGCTTAGTTTGGGGGCACATGCAGTATGTTAGTTTTTTTTTATTTTATAATCTTTGTCCTCAGCATTCTATCCTCTCCTTCCCAGCACCTTTACAAGCAATGAAATTGGTTATTGTTCACTGTGAGCTCAGATGAGCTTTATGGTGCAAGTCACAGGCGTCATGAGCAGAGGCAGACGAGCAGCTATTAGCTGATTCACGGATACCTGCTTAGACTTCCATAGGTGCCAGAACCCGTGATCACCTCCACCCTCAGTGGGTAGGTTGGAATTAAACGCTGTAGCCAGTGCCACTTCCCTGTCTCCTCTTTATGTTTCCAAATGAAAGCCCAGGTAACATTCCCTGAGCAGGATATGTTAGGGTTGAGTTGCTTGGTGCGTGTTGTTCCCTTTACATATGTGTATTTTTGGTGTAGAGCAGGCTGGCTCAGGTGTCTTCGCCTCTCACGTTTACGTGGTTACTTTGAAGGAACCAAGGCTGCTGACCGTGCAGAGGGCAAAGGGTCGAGAGAGGCTGGTGTTTCCCTTGATAAATTCTCAGAAGTGAGCACTGGTCCGGCTCCCGAAGTCAGGCCCCTAGTCACTCCGCTGTGCAGGAGGGGCGTTCCGGCCTCCGGGACCTCTGTCCTCCGTTCTGTGCTGAAGAAGCCCTCCGGGAAGCTGTATGTGGAAAGCCTGCAGGTATGTGTAGGGCTTGATTTCTTCAAGCAAACGGCACGCAAATTCATTCTTAGAGCAGTACCTCTGAAATGTTAAATGCCATGCCGATTTAAAAGGAAATGTCTCACTGTTTTTTCCCCTCCTTTTCTCACAACACTGCAGTTTGTTTTTGTTCTTGTTTTAAAAAGCAAAGTATGGAATGTAGTGTATAGAATTTAATATAGGTGGCCTGTGTTTTATAAGCGTTTCATAGTTCTTAACATGTGAGTCTGTACAGTTATTTGGCTCAGGGATGCGTCTTTCACTGGTAGGTACCTTCCTCCAAGCTTGGTCAGTGCGAGGGAAGAGGAGGCGTGTGGGAACCAGCTGGCCTTCCCTGAGTACTTCCTGTGGACTTCTGGCACGTATCATGTACGTGCAGCCGTCAGCCCCAAGAATGGTGTCGGCCCCATTTCACATACACTTAGGCTGGAGGCAGTTAAGTGAACCCCCCAGACAAACCCGATGTTAAAGTCCATGGTGGACTGTAGATGCTGTGGGAAGCTAAGGGGCCGGGCTCTGGAGTAAGTGCCTGGTTTCACATCCCCACTCTGAGGCATACAAGCTGGGCAAAGCACTTAACATTTTTGTACCCTGGTTTTTTACCTATAAAAGGATGTTAGTAACTACCTTACAGGGAAATTTGAGCACTAAGTGGGATAATAATGTGATATCAGCACCAGTGGCTGGCAAATGAGAAAGTACATTTTTTTTCCTACCTGTAGGCATTTTAATATCTGGCTAGGCCTACAGATCTGTTTCTAAAGCTAAAATGAACTAGGCTACCTTCTCTCTATATGGATAGATGTTCAGTCATCATAAGTCTAAAAATTAACATGAACTTTGTTTTATAAGTTCACTTAATTCACAAATATTGATTGGGGCATTTTCCTGGTGAGGAAAATGAAGCCGACTCAGGAGATAGTTGGTCTGGGAGGTTTGCTTGGGGCAAGGCTATCTCGTAGCAATGGCTCCGCCCTTGGGATGGGTGGGCTGGAGGGAAGGAGGAGCCCCAGGGAGCAGGCTGGTTGGGGCCGGGGGAGGTTGGACAAGCAGGTGGCCCGGCCCCGGCCCCGGCCTCCTGTTCTGCGCCAGTGGCCCTGTATGTAGACTTGCCCTGTCTTGTGCTTTAGATTCGCACTGTCCCACCCTCACCAATGCGCCTGCCGTCATTGTCCTTCTGGAGATCATAGAGGGACGTGCTGCCCTCGTTCCTTGTTTCTAATGCAAGAATACACTAACGTAGACAGGAGATTCATACACTTATAAAAGGTGTGGTTCTGTGTTTAAAAGACAGAACACCCTATTATACCATTTACCTACTTGTTCTTTGCTTGTTTTAGTGTAACCCTTATCAGTTTCCTTAATTTTGCTTGACAGATCAAAAATGAGGGAATGAATTTAGCCCACGTTATGGATTTCTCTGCTTGGATTTTGGCTTAAAATACTATTTATTAAAGTTATGTTTAGGGAACCTAGTTTTCCTTTGTGGCTAATATGGTGTTTTAGCCAGAACAATGATGAAAGTAATCTCCAGTATTATAGTCTCTGCGCGTGGCAGGAAAGAATTCAGAGTTGCCATTTTTTGGTGACTGTGTGTGTATGTTCATACATGCGAGATCCACTGATGTTCATTTTGCACAGGAGCACTGCGACAACCTCTGTGATCCTGGGGCTCAGCCCAGCCTCATCTCGCACCCTGCAAACTGTGGTGAAGAACAAAATGCAGGTAAGAAATGGGTATTTATTTTGAAGCCTAAGGATTTTATGGTCTTGTTATAAAAAAAGAATCTGATACAGCATATGGTATTTTCAGTGACCTGCTAATGGCTTGGTGACAATTGGGGGAGTAGGACTCTCTTCGGGGGGTCTCAGAATTGGTCTGTCCATTTTACCCATCCATTTTTACTTGATGGTGAACTTGATATTCCAATTTTGTAAACTTCTGAGCTACTCATGCAAAGTTCACTTTAAGATCTATTACTGTATTTTAATTAGAAATACTGCTTTTTCATTTTGAATTTTTTCTACAGATTTTTACACAAATAATATTGGGATCTAATCATTTTAAAAGATTCTAGAATATGCCTTTTAAGTAAGAAATTGAGCTTAATTTTTTTAATACATTCCTATTTATCAACTATAGAAGGTCAAGAAAACTACAAGGTACCGGCCTTTGTAAATATGAGGAAGAGGAAGAGGGTGACGTTCGGTGAGGACCTGAGCCCTGAAGTGTTCGATGAGTCTCTGCCAGCCAACACCCCGCTGCGGAAAGGAGGGACACCTGTCCGTAGGGAGGACTTCAGTAGGATCAGTCCTGTGCTGCTTGAGCAGTCACCAGTCTCTGAGCAGCTGCCTCAACCAAATTTCGATGACAGGGGGGAAGATCTTGTAAGTGTGAAAAATGTGGAACAAAGTTGTGTATATTTTAATCAGACCTCACTTATTTTGCATGAGCAGTAATTATGCTTTGAAATTGTGAAATGGACTAAATGATGTGTCATGGTATATATAATTCAACGCATTCTTCTAGGTAGGTTGTTACTGTTTTCTCCTATTAAAAACAACATGAGCGTTAAACTGTGACACATCGTGAACTGTGAGATGTACAATAGTCCCCCCATTATCTGCAGTTGCAGTTACCGAGGGACAGCTGCGGTCTGAAAGTATTACATGGAAGACTCTGAAGGCAAACAGTGCATAGATTTTAAATTGCATGCCGTTCGGCAGTACCTCCTTCCTCTCCTCACGAAGCCTTCTGTCAGCTCACATGGTCACAGGAAAGGGGGGAGTATAGGACAGTAAGATATTTTGAGAGAAACCACATTTACATACCTTTTATTACTGTGTCTTACTATAATTGTTCTATTTTATTGTTTGATATTGTTAATCTCTTACTGTGCCTAATTTATAAGTTAAACTTTTAATGCACTACCTGTGCAGTTTGGTATTGTCCATGGTTTCAGGCATTTGGTGGGGCAGGGTAGAGGCGGGTGGGGGTCTTTGACCTTCTCCTCCTGTGGACGAGAGGGACTACACTCAGATTGTAGAGGTGTTAAAATGTGGAAGAGCAATGGACTTAGAACTGATACACTGTAAGTATAAACTGGTTTTTCCCTAAGGTGAATTTTTACAGGTGGAATTACTGGATTAAAGAGTATGAACTTTTTGATGAATATTGCTAAATTTCCTCCAGAAAGTATGTACAAATTTGAACTCACTGCAATATAAATGGTTTTATTTTTATCATACCTTTGTAAATCCTGGGTATTAACCATACTTATTTAAAACAGCTTAATAGGAGAAAAAGATGACTTGAAAATTTTTAGTTACTAGTGAAATTTGGACTTTTTCACATGTTTATAGGCCATTTGAATTTCTTATCTTGAGAACTGCCTATTAATCTTCCTCACCTATTTTTATGTTGAGACCATCATTCATTCTCTCTCTTGCTATTACACTTTGAAATAGAATATTTTGCTTTTGGCTAGGGTGGAGTAAGAGGGACCTAATTGTACTCTTATGAGAAACAAGAAAAAAACTAGAGAAAGTATGTGAAGCCGTGGTTCTCAGACACTCAGCCTCAGGCTGCACAGTGTGGTGACCCCTCAGAGGAGAGTAACCAGTGAGGGGAGCCTGCGAGAGTCCTCACCCACCACTCGGGCCCCCAAAAGGCAAGGCTCCAGAGAGGGTTTGTCTCAGTGCAGCTCGGCAGTCTGGTGAGCTGGGACGGTGGAGTTGGGGTCTGGGAAAGCAGAGGAGGCTGGCGGACACAGGGCAAAGTACCGGGGAGGAGAGCGCTACACAGAGAGCTCTGGAGGTCTGCACAGGGTCCCACTTAAGTCCCTTCTGCTGGGTGCTGGTCAACACGCCTGTGTGTGAACTGCCCGAGGCCAGGAGAGAGCTACCAAAATGGAGCAGAGGGAACAATGCCTGGTGCTCCCGCCCATTGGGCAGGAACAGTGTTCTAACCTCGTGACTCGGGGGTGTTGGCTACTCAAGGGAGTGTTGCTTTATCAGTGGAGCAGACACCAAAAGTCTAGTGATACTTCATGTGAGCTATGAAAGGACCCAGCTTGTATTCAACCACTTGACGGCATTGAATAACAGCTCAAGAATCACATAACAAAACTGCAGTACAAAGCAACTTTAGATTCAGAATCTCTGACATTGATTAAACATTAGTAGATGTGTAAGAAAAGATGCCCCATAATGAAGAAAGAAGAATTGTGAACTTGAAGATGTAACGATTGAAATTATTCTCAGGGAAACAGAAAAAGAAATTAAACAAGGAGTAGACAATGGGCGAGCTTGGACAACTTCAGGTAGCATAATACGCATTTAATTAGAGACCCCAGAGGAGAGGAGAGACCCGAAGGAACAGAAAAAAATGTTCAAAAAGTAATGGCTTAACAATTTCCCAATGTTACAAAATTATAATCCCATAGATTCTAAAGTTCAACAAGTTTGCAACGTGAAACATGAAGAAAAGTACACTAAGACACATCATTGCTTAAAATCACTGATAAATGGCCTAAAATAGCTAGGAAAAACAGACACATGACATAAAGATTATGAACAAACTGAACACTGCAGCAACGGCTTGTAGTGGTGTACTCGGGGGAAAAAATCCTGTCAACCTAGAATTTTATATCCAGTGAAACTTCTCTTTCATCAAAACAAAGGTGAATTAAAGGCTTTTTGAGACATATGAAAGCTGGAAGAGTTCATTGCTATAGCAGATTAGCACTGGAAGAAATGTTAAAGGAAGTCAAAACTTCCTCAAAACTTTAGTCAAAAGGAAAGTGGTTCCAGATGGAAATCTGCAGGTAACATAGGAACGAAGAACACTGTAAGTGCTAAGCATGTGGGCAAATATAACAGACTCTTCCCTCTTGTTAATCTCCAAAAAAAGATAATCATTCAAAATAAGAGTAACAGCAACATGTTATTTGGTTTATAACCCATGTAAATAAAATATACAATAAAAATAACATGGCATAAAGGCTGGGAGGGGTTCTTAGGCTATACACAAAGCTGTGTAAGTTAAAGATGAATATTATAAACCACTTTACAAGGATAGCACCAATCTGTGGGATGCAGCTGAAGCAGTATTTCCAGGGAAATTTTTTTAAATTAAGGCCTGACTTCAAAATAGATGTTTCACATTAATCTCAGCTTCCACTTTAAGAAACTTGATAAAGAAAAGTTAAAGCAAAGTAAGCAGAGGAAAGGAAGTAATAAAGATAAATGTTTGGAATAGAAAATAAAAAAATAGAGAAAATTACTGAAATTAAAAGGTGGTGCTTTAAAGAAATAATGTTAGTAAACTTCTAATCAGACTATTCAGGAAAAAAGGAAACTACACAAATTACTAGTAAGGAATGTGAGAGGAAGCTATATGCTAACACAGTAAAAGGATAATAAGAATATTATGAACAACCTTATGCCAATAATTTGAACAACTTAGACAAGCTAGACACATTTCTTGAAAGACACAAACTACCTAATTTCACTCAAGAAGAAATAAGTTACCTCATTAGCTCTATTTCAACTAAAGAAATTTAAGTTGTAGTTAAACCTTACCAAAAGCCCTGCATGTCCAAGTCATTTTATTAATGAATTCTACCAAACATTTTAGGACAATATAATACTAATTCTGCATGCACTCTCCCAAAGAAATTGAGGTGGAAATAACTTCCCAGTTATTAATGTTAGCATTATGAACCATCGTAATCAGACATTATAAGAAAACTACAGTCCAGTATCCTCATGAACATAAGAATATATAAAAAGAATATATCATGAGCAAATAAAATTTAACCCAGAGATGCGAAGATGGCTTACTATTTCAAAAAATTTGTATAATTCACCATTTTAACAGACAAGGACTGAAAAACCTTATGTTCACCTCAGCAGATGTAGAAGCATTTGACAATATCCAGGACTCATTTCTGATAAAAAAAAAAGTCGGAGCAAACTAGTGAAAAAAGAAATTTTTTTTCGACCTAACAAATTTTATCTATGAAAAGTCACAGTTACCATCATCATGGCAATTATGTGAGAAAGAAAAGATTTGGCATCTCTGTGTATTTTGCCACTTTACCCTGAAGTTCCCCTGAATAATTTGTAATGTTAGGTTGTCTTTATTAATGGGTTGTCTTACTTTTATAGGAGTTAGGACATGGGATTTTAAATAAACCAAAAAGTACATAGTGGATCATTATGGCTACTTTCACTTCAAGTTTTTGTTTGTTTTGGTGAATTGTAGTTAGTAAACATGGCTTCATTCAGGATGATTTGTAAATATTATAAAATTTATTTTTATATCCAATATCTTTTGTTTTGCTTCGACTTTTTCTTTTTCAACCTTTTATTAAGCTTTCCCATTTTTATGCTTATTGCAGTTTTACCTACAAAAATCCATATTTTCTTTGGAACACATTATTTACATGTCCACTGAATTTAAGGATGTCTAATTTCTACTTTTTTTTCTTTGTTTAGGAAAACATAGAACCTCTTCAGGTATCATTTGCTGTTGTGAGCCCTCTTAGTAAGTCTTCAGTCTCTGAGACTCTTTCAGGTAGTAATTTCTGTTTCTTTTATAGTGTCATTTGCAATATCTGTGTGTATGAAACTTAATTTCCTTTTTTCAAAAAATGCTTTATCGTTACTCTGTTATAGTTGTCCCAGTTTTTCCTCCTTTGCCCCCCTCCACCCAGCCCGTATTTTAAAAGCCCTTAATTCTTTTTAAAATTTTATTACAACAATGCACACATGGTTTAATAAACCAAATAGTATAGAAAAGCTTACAAGAAGTCTCCTTTCCATTCATTTCCATCTCAGGTCCTGCACTTCATATCACCCACATTTAACTTCCGTAGATGGCAGCTCCTTTTCCCAGTTAGCAATAAAGTTTTCCTGAGCTTTGTAAAATAAAGTATTTCCATGATCATCTTAATGCCCTTTATTGCAATTTCACTGTACAAAGTGTAGCTTGGACTGCATGGGCATGAGTGAGAATATGGGTGTTTATTATGTGATTTAATCTGTTATCTTAGCAAGATAACATGTTATGCAGTCTCCATGGAAAGTGGCAAAAGTTTCTGGTGTTCAGTAAACTTAAAGTTGTAATATTTTTGAATCTTAAGCTGTATTCCTTGTGGTAATTAATTATGCTTAGATGTGATAAGGTAGTAAGAGCAAAGGTGGGTATTCAGAAGAGTTTGCGGTGAATGTGAAAGACGGCAGATTGTACAGCTCTTTGTTAGCCACCCTGATTTTGCTCTCGTGCTCCTCAGGCACTGATACCTTTAGCTCTGCAAATAACCATGAGAAAATACCTTCCTGTAAAGATGGTAGAAAAACGCGGGCCTCTAACAGAAGAAGCGTAAGTGTTTGCATTGGGCACGATGTATTTAAATCTTACCGTAGATCTCTTCGTTTTTCATACTCAGATGATTATGGCTAAAATCTTGGCTTGGACAGTGTTATTAAGAGCTAATACCTTATCCTACCTATCATGTAACCCAGGGTAATGGCGTTTTCCTGCTTTGTTTTTTTTTAATTTTGTTAGAAGAAAAAGCCAGTAATATAAGAAGCTTTCAAGTTTGTCTGAATGTGGAAAAATAATCAGAAAAGCTTGTTTGATATCTGTGTCATATTATGAATTTTGTTGAGGTACAAAGTGGGGAAGAGTAGCATGTAATTAGCACAGTCAGAAAGTGGCATAAATATGATCTTTTTGAAAACTATACTTTGTGGTTGTTTTTTAACATAGGATTTTGGCTATTTTCAGTATGAACCTAATTTTCATTGAAGGCATATGTTTTGCTATTTTATTAAATTTGATAAAATTGGATTTTTGTCTATAGCATTATAGTGCAGAAACTTAAGCATACTATCACAAGGTTTTTAGCTGATATTGTTGGATGGTAAACCCAGAATTCAAACTCAGGTAACCTAATAGTTCATGATTTTTTTTTTCCTATCGCTCAACAGCATATAGTTGCTAATGTTTAGATGCTCAGTAAATATTTTGATGAATGAATAAGTCAACCAATTTTTAAGTTAGGGTTTTTTTCTTTCTCAAAATAACTGGGCAGAGTGCATATATGCCTCTGGGTCCATGCTTTGATAGACCAGAAATTAGTAATTACTATTTCTCCCATTTGAGGTTAAGTTGGTTAAAGTATATCTAATGGAATTTGTAGATGTAGAGGAAATGGGATGTAATAATGGTAGAAACAACATGGGAAAGAAAATAAATGTGAAAGAACATAAATTAAAGTGTAACTGCTTGCATTTATGGTATTCCTACTTTAAATTTTCTTTATAGCAATTGATCACTTTTGCAGAAGAGAACATTTGCAGCTTACTTAATACAGAAACTCAGCCGTGCAAAGAGAAGAAAATTAAGAGGAGGAAATCTCAAGAAAGCAAGCGCCCAGACAGAGTACCTCCTAAAAAGAATCCGGTGAGTGTGTATCTAAAGATGTATATTACAGAGAAGTGGTGCATTTCTTTGTTTTATGGTTAGGGAAACATGGAAACCATTTTTTTTTTCATTAACATTAGACCAAGAGTATTAAAATCATCTTATCATAGAACAGAAAGGGCCATAAGAGATTATATACTCAATTGGTAATAACCCGAGGGCTCTTTTTGCATCTTCTCTTGTTGTGTTAGGTGCATCCAGCACAGTGAATCATCAGCACTCAAATGTCAGATCAGCTCTCCATGAATCTGACCGCACCCTGTCTGGGAAGCCCTCCATTTCTCAGGCGGGGACAAGCGCGCCTCTGCCAGTCGGCCCCTCGTTTGGCCTTGCTCTGCCAGTGGCTGCGTCTCTTCCCCGAGCTTAAGAAAGGATTTAGAAACCCCTGCCTGCTCAGTGTATCAAGGCCCATCCCAGTTCTGGTGACTCCGTCTCTTTATGGGTGACCAACCTGAGTGCCTTCACCCTGTTACTGGCCCCCTTCCCTGGACCCTCTTCTGTGAAACCCTACAGCTTGTTAGCACCCAAGCCCTTCCCACTTTTATTGCTGTGCCTTTGTGCACCCCACCCTCTGAGCCCAGCCTTCCACCCATCAGCACTCGCACTCCCTCCCTCACGTCCCCCTGCTAGGCCTAATAACCTTTTGGCCCCCGTGTTTACTCTCCAGCTGTGAGATACCTGTTCGTTTCCTGTGTGTCCTTGTCTGCCTTAAACTACTACGTGAGCTGCTCTCAGTCGCCCTTGTTAACCTCAGCTCTTCACCCTTTCATTCTGCTTCCACTCTGGACTGACCCAACTCTGACCACCCTCCCACCTAACACAGCGCCCGGGCAGACTCAGAGGCTGCATCTGGTCGCCGATGTGCGGTCTTGTTCTTACGCCACTTCACTTTAATTAGTTTTCCAAAGTATGCAGTGATTCAGTGGCCGAAGTCCAGGGTCTTGCTTGAGGTCTTGTGTTCACTCATCATCTCAGCAACATGCGCCGCCATTGAGAGCTCTTTCACAGTCTCTGTTAGGTGTTTCTTGCCTTCTGCCCGTCCTCATGTGCCTGTATTACGGAGTTCTACTCTTTTCCCTTCCATATTGTGTATTTTCTGGTTCATTTCATATGTAGCATGGTTGATGACTCCCAGATCTTTCTGCTCTATGCACATTAGGTTCAGCTGCCTACTAGACATCTCTTCTTAAACCATCCTACAAACACCTAAAAAAAATCAACATTTTCAAAACTAGCATTTTCACCCCAACATACACCTACCCTAGTCAGTCAGTAAATTTGTTTGTGCTTCATGAAACAAAAACTGCTGCCTCTCTGGGCGCAAGCACCCCCAAGGCAGCAAAACCAGAAGAATCTGAATGTTTTCCTGGTTCTGTCCTTTTTTTAGATCTTGTAGTTCTTTGAAAGATCCCTTTGCCTAAAAAATACACATAAATTCAGAAATATACATTCTTCTTAAATTATTGCATTAGAAATTGGCGTCCCTCATACTCTTTATAAAACACTGTTACAAAGAATGTATACCTGCTTCTTCACATAAAATCAATAGCCAGAAGGTTCAAGAAGGTTGGAGCAGTAAGTTCTGCTCCAACCCCTCCCAGGACCCCACTGTATCAAAATACTGATGTAAGATGAGGGACAGGCTTAGAGTAGCAATGAGAAGAGGAAGGAAGTGAGGAGGGCGTTCAGCAGCAGATGACAGCCTGCAGTGAGTTTCTGGAAAACAAAGCAGATGGGAGCATGTTGCCAGATAAAAGGTGGAAAGATTTGCAGCCCAGAATGTGCTAGGAGGGAGCTAGAGAGGCTGGGAGCCAGCCTGTCTATTGGAATCCCAAGAGACTGGGCCCAGAATTGGCAGGTACCATGGGGGGTGAGAGTGAGAAGTGGTGGTGGAAAGCAGATTAATTGAAGTCCTGTATGTGAAACAGTTTGCACCAGTTGGCACCCCACCCCCCTCTCCCACCCTGAAGCTTAGAGCAGATGTTGCCGTCTAGGTTAAAGCCTTCATCTGGCATTTGGAAAATCCCACAATCTCAACAGTCAGCTCCTGCCCTAAAGCAAAGCCTGCAGTTGACACTCCCCATTCTCCTATCTCAGGCAGGGTCCCTAGCAGAATTGCCTCTCGGGAGAGGCTGAGCTGAAGAGCAGAGGGAACCTGTACCCATTTCCAGTCTTTCTTAGATAAGAGTCAGACAACTGAGTAGAACCAAGAACATGAAAAAGCAATAATAAAAAGTTGAAAACCTGACCTCAGAGAGAAATATTAGTCAGGGAATGGTAGGAAATGTTATTAAAGATAAATAAATATTCTCATCTACTCAAATTTAAGAGAGCATAAAACTATGAGGGGTATGCTATGAAAAAGGAGCAGAGAAAAAGCATTTGCAAAAATATAAAGTTTAGTAGTTCGACTAGAGAATGAAATTAAGGAATGTCTCCCAGGAGGTAGAACAAATGGGAGACAGACTAGTGATGAGACGAAGGACCAGGCCAGGAGACTTCGTGGGATCTCAGGACAAGAAAGTAGGATGGAAGACGTTGTCTAAATAAAACAAGTATTTCTCTGAACTGAAGAAAGGAATTGAACAGTAAGAATAAGGAGAAAAATGGACTTTTCCTACCAGGAAAAAGTAATCAGAGTGGTATCCGGTTTCACAGCAGTCTAAATGTGGAAAGATAATTTACCGGGACATTTAAAGCTTTGAAGGAAATTTGATTTCAACCCAAATTTCTGAACCCAGCCAAATTTAATTAAGTATGAAAGAAAAAAGATGTTCAGACGTTTTGAGGACTTGGAAAGTGTTTCCGTGGTATTACGGGGGGCGCTGCTTGGGCAGAATGAAGTCAGCTTGGGCAGTCAGGAGGCAGTGGGTCTGCCTGTCCGGCACAGTGGTGCCCTGGGAGCCTCTGATGACAGCCGGGCCACCGGGCCGAGCGCCAAACAGCCCCATGCAAGAGAAGGGGTGCTCCCAGGAGGTCTCTCGGGGGAAGGGCAGAGAGGCCCGCGATCGAGAAAATGGAAGGTGTGCCATAGAAGAAGAAGAAAAAGGCAGTTATGTATCCACTCAAATACAAGTCTGTAAACAAAAGTTTTGAAGCAAATATTTCAAGCAATGAGGAAGTGAGGAAAAGGATATTTGATAATGCTGGGCATCGAGGCGGGGGTTGCGATGCACCAGAGGAAGGGAAAGGGACAGGATCTCTGTCCCGGAAACCGCACAGGCAGTCCTAATGATGGGAAGGCTGTTTTCAGCTAAGGGCTAAGCTTTAACAACTTGACTGTGTACAGGATGATCTAGATGTAGCTAAAAGCGGAGGACAGAAGTGAGTGGAGAGGGTGGGGTGAGGGGTTAACGCTAACAGGACAGTGGTCAGGAGGGCAGGCTGGGGAGCCAGGTTAAACGGGCGTCTTGAGTTCTGCCGCCTCCTGGCACTCGGGTGGCGAGCGAGAGCCGTGAGCCCTCTCTTGGTTTTAAAATGGAGGTATCAATGGTACTTGTTTTACAAGGTCATGGGGAATAAATAGTGAATGAGTTAGTACATTGAAACGCTTAAAACAATGCCTGGTCATAATAAACACTAAGGCTGTTATTTATGTTTACCATCTTACAACTTATGGGCTACTACCTGTCAGTGCACCCCAGCGGCTGCCTTTTATGGGGTTTTTTTGACCTATGTAAAACCTGTGGATATTTATTCATTTATTTTTTAAAATTTTTATTCTATTTTTTTCTTATTACCATCTATCCCTGTTGTACCCTCTTCCTCTTCCACCCATGCCTCTCCTTCCTTTAAAGGACACCAATCAGACTGGAGTTCAAGATATATTTTAAAAGTTAGTGCAAAGAAATACAATGTAAACTCAAAGGTAAGCAATGAGCCAGAACTAACAGGGCAGGTGAAGGTTTCCTTTAAGTGAGCAGTAGCCTCCTCTTTAAGGGCCAGGGCGAGGGGGCTTTATTCTGCACTGTGGGCTTGAAGTGTTCTCCAAGAACAGATCTTTCACACAGACACAGAGAAAATGGTAGCTGTAACTATGTGAAGTGACAGATGTGTTTGTTAACTTGCTTGTAATGATTATTTTATAATATATATATATTAAATCATGTTGTACACCTTTTAAAAAATCGTGTTGTACAATCTAAATATATATAATTTTTGTCAATCATCTCCATAAAGCTGGAAAATTTTAAAAATAAATAGCATTGCTAACTTGAAAGCACCTTTAGAATTCATAACATTGAATTTCTTTATTACCTAGAAATGGAGAAAGTTTCCAAAATAGGAATCGAAATCCGGAAAATGAAATCAAAGACTGGTAAATTTCACTCCATTTGACCCAAACAGCATGAAGCATGCATGGGGGAAAAAACTAAGGAAATTCAAAAGGCAAAGGAGAAACATGGGAAAAGTATCTTCAATTCAATATCAAACACAAAGGATTAAGATCACTAATATTAAAAAAGCTTCTAAATTGAGTTAAAAGTGAACTAGAGAAAAATGTCCAAGAGATGTTTTTAATAGTTCACAAAATTGAAATGAAAATGGCCCTTAAACATGAAAAGAACGTTCAGAGTTGCTCATCATAACAAGAGAACTACATTGAGATGCCATTTTTGTACCATTTTAGATGAGGAAAAATCCCGGGTTTTGACAGCATACCTGCTGGTGAGGCTGCGTGGCACGCGAGCACCCTTGTTTCCTGGTGACGCAAAGCCCTGTGGAGGGCGCCTTAGCAATATCGAGCCAAACGAAATACCCATTTACCTTTTGACCCAGCACATTCATAGGAATTCATCCCAAAGAACCAACAACCAAAAAGGCATTGTAGAAAATTATTTATTGCAGCACTCTCTGTAATGCCACAACTGAAAACAAACCAGATATCTGTCAGTGTGAGACGCGTGTGTTTTGTATCTATGGAACAGCGAAAAGAAATTCAAACACCGCCAGGAAGCGTTTACTGTCAGCAAAACGTA